AAAAGAACGAAGGAGTTTCCGATTCGGTGATTTCGTTGACATTGCGGCTGCTGCTGCGACAGACTGTTGCGAAGTGATTGCGCTTGCCGCATTTCCTGCAAGTTTTCCCACGCGCTGGGCAATTGTTTTGGGCATGACCTCTTCCACAGTTGCCGCAGTTAGAGAAAGTTGAGGGTGATGCATGGCTGCCTCTGTGTTGGGAGTGTGTACCTGTTCTTCGGCCGCCTCTACCCTTGGGGTGAGCAGGCGACGAATATCCCCTCTGGCCGTAGCGCACTGAATCTACTGTGACTGCTGCACCTAGCTGACGTTGGCTACTGACCTGACCCTTTACGAGCTCGAAATGGCGTGCTGTTTCGATGGCTGATTTCAAAGTTAGAGTTGCCTCGAGTTGTAAGCGCTGTGACAGTTCATTGTCCAGTACTCCTAGGACGAGTCTATCCCTTATGGTTTCATCTCGGTCCTTAAAGTCTGCATGTTCGGAAAGCTCTTACACGGCTCTAACATATTCTTCTATCGTCTCCCCACTGTTTTGTGCACGTGCATGAAACGTTGCTCTTTCGTGGATAAGATTCCGCTTGGGGACAAAGTGAGCGTCGAAATTCTCTAAGACAGTGTCAAAGTTGTCCCTAGGATCGTTACCTTCGACGGGAGCAGGGAACGTGAACGTGTTAAATATCTGTTCAGCTTGGCGTCCCATAGCGTAAATTAATGAACTTACTTGAATTGCTCCGGTCTCTGCGCTCAGTTTGGTGGCTGTACGGTATCGTAGCATACGCTGTCGCCACTCGGGCCACTCGTGAGGTTTCGAAAAATCAAACGGCTCAGGAGGCTTGAAATGAGGCATTCTGACACTTGTGACACGTTATCCACTGACTTCTGACACCATGTAATGTTAGTATACACACACGACTGTAAAACTGGAGAGACGAACGCACACGACAGCAAGCATTCTAAATGATGAGCCCGGGTGTAGTGTCTGACTTTTTATGTTGATCCCCGAAGTGAGTAACATTAACCAAAAGCCCATGGCATACGGGGCGCTTACGTCCCGTGAGTAAAAAAGAGTAAGGTACAATACGGTGACTACCGTGACAAAACCGACTCCTTCGTCATCATCATCATCATCATCATCATCATCATCATCATCATCATCATTGTAAATATCAAGGAATAAAAAAGGATTAAGACTTGTATAATTTCCAAAGAAAAATTTATAAAGGTTCAGCGTTTCGCCTGATCACGGGATTCATCAGGAACATACAAAAAATATAATTTTAGATCTAATGACTATGCTAGCTATAGTAACCAAATTGCACGCATCTACGTCAAAGAGCCAAAAGGTGCAATAAACACAAATGCTTTCTGCGGCTTAGGCCTAGCGCAATCAGAGAACTGGCCAAGGCTGCATTTGTAAACACTGCCTCTACAATCTATACTCTAATTCTGGCCTACAGAAAAATGTACGCATGTGGAAGAAAACAGGACAACAGATTTAAAAATTGAATTCTAGATCTAGATCTAGATCTAGATCTAGATCTAGGCCTAGAATCTAGTTATAAAATAATGTTGATCTAGCATAAAACCGAAACATTTCTTGATAACGTAGACCGAAAACTAGATCTAGATCTACATCTACATCTAGATTATCTAGATCTAGATTTGAGAGATCTAATCTAGTCAGTGTCAGTAGTTACATAAGAAAAAAAGTCATCTAGATCTAGATCTATAGGCTTCCAGCATAATAAAAATATGCCTGCCTTAGCCTAAATTTATAACGTTGATCTAGCTTACAACATATAATTTAAGATAGCCTAATAAAGGTTAATACATTTTTACTTATTTTACTAATTAGTTACATAAATTATTAGCCATGCATGGGGTCTGTACTGTGGGTAGGGAAGAGGTAGTTGGCGAGAAAAGAAAGACAGCATGAGATCTATAAGCCTATAGGCAATGATGAGGAAAGGCAACAAACCGTAGAAACAGAAAACAGATTTCGTTTTGTGTAGGCTAAAGGCATATTATGGATAAAAACAGGAATACAATGCGACAGACCGAATCCACCAGAGGCCTATATAATAAATATTATATAAAAACATGAACACGTTATAATGAATCTTTCATTGAATAATAGCACTTTACTTAAACTGGCTCTTACTTGTGGGTGAATGTGACAGTCTTTCTTAGACTGCTTTGCCTTATGCATTGCCTCTTGCTGATTCTTTTGTCCATACTTCTCTGTCAGGCACATACAATTTGGGACATTACAAACTTCAAGGGTGGTCCTGACAGGGTCAAGCTAGCACTTCCTTACTTAATTAAGTAAGCTTTGTAATTTCTTTGTCTCTTTAATTTTGTTACATGTATTCCGTAGTAG